CTTTTTTTAATGCAAATTTCTTAATTTTTTTAATGGTTTGATCAATATTACAATTAAGTTAAGATATGCCAACTCCTTTTTGAGTTAATTTTATTTTCTAATATTATTGTTTATTTTTAACTCTTTTTTTATTTGCTTCACATTTTCTAATTATTGTAATTACTTTTTTTTTTATCAAGATCATAGTTTTCAAATGCTAAAACAAAATTTAGAGGTATATGTATTTTTTTTTGTTGTGCCAAGAAAAAATAATTGAATAAAGAAATTGGTTTTATATAATTTATAGATAATTTATATGTATTTCATTCGTTAGATTTTTTGTATTATGTATTGAGTTTAACTTTGTAAAAATCTTACTTTATGCAAAGATCCTACTTAGGTGTCAAATAATTGGTTAATCATTAATCTTACTACTTATTTTTTGGACATATGAAACTTTTAGATAATAGTCTTTAGCATGCAAGGTTATGTTTATTATAATATTTTATTAAATGAAAAGTGAAAAACAAAAATAGAGTAAATAGAATAATTATTATTATTAGTACTTTATTTAAAATTTTAAATATTTATCTTTTTAACTTTTATATTAATGTATTTTTTCTCAAGTAAAAAAAGTGATAACATGAATTATGCATATGAATATTGAGTTATAAAATATTATTTTTTGTGAAGATAATGATAGTAAATTTTGCTTAGTCAATAAATATTTTTCAACTCATGAATTTTTAGATTATTTTTTATTGTTTTGTAACTTAAATAATTTTTATATATTTTTGTAATTTGAGTAGGTCTCTTTCATTAATTATTAGTTTTGGAATCACGTAAAATTAAAAGTGAAAATCAATTATATTTTCAAAAAATTTCTTTTAGATCCAAAGTAATTTTTTTGTCTATCGATTATATAGATATTTTATGATGAATTAATGTTTAATTGTTAATAGATTTTTTAATATAATTTTTTAAATTTATTTGAAATAATAATTTTATAATATTTTAATTAATAAATAAAATTGATCCGTGCGGTGCACGGATCACAAACTAGTTAATAACATAATTCTTCAACAGTACATGCATTTTCCTGTTGCTAAGGAATATTTTTTTTTTTCTTTTGGAACAACGGAAATTCATTAAACTATTCTTTTGTCGCAAATTCTTCAACTCCCTTTTTAAATTTAAAAGTGATCTTTAGCGAGAATAGAAGTAGCGATGATAATTGATTGAGTTGGAACGAATTTTTATTTATCTTATTTTATATATATATATAATTTAAATTTGATTTGATTCGATAATTTTTTTTATATTCGAATTTGATATTATATAAAATTATATTCGATTCGAAATTAATAAAATATTATTTTTAATATAAAAATAAAATTAAATATATATAAATAAATATAAAATTAAATAAATAATTAAAATAATTTTTATATATCAAATCGAGTAAGATTGAATTTATCTAAAATTTGATCTTGATTCGATTTTAAATCTTTTTATATTATCTGACCTAATATTTAATTTAAAGATAATTAATTTTAAAAAATTAAATCAAATTAAAATTTATCAAAAATTAAATTATCTTCTCTAAATAGAAGTTTTACTCGTGGTAAAAAGCCCAAGTCTCTTCAAACTCTTATGCTTTTCATGAAAAGATTTTTGGAAGAAAAGTACTTCGTTTAAATGAATTTTGCCAAACGACCTAGTCAAAAGTTATGATTGTTTAAATTTTAATGATCTTCATAGTGTAAGATTCCGACTTAAGCTCTTAAACTAATCCATAAGATAGCATCTACCATATAAAATATCTTCTATATCTCTAGACAAATTTGGCCAAGCAATATTTTTTTGATTGGACATTCTTAACCACTTGGTGGGCAACCTATAAATTTTTTTTTATTTCAACGGTATACTTGAAAATAAAGAATAGATAAAAATCATTTATTAAATGATATTGAAATCAAAATTTAAAAGTTTTGAATTCTAATTATAATCTAAAAAATTAAAAAAACATTTTATTAATTATTTTGGCAACATTTATTAAAATCATTTAATAAAAAAAAATATAATACTTCCACTCGTATTGCTAAAGTTTATTAATATTCATTGGTACCAAATCATCAAAATGGGTGTACATTATTTGGAAAATATATATTCTACTTTAAATTCAAGTAAAATTTCCAAACGCAATCCTTTTTTGGATTATATTTTCAGATATTGCCACTTCAATAATAAAGCAAAGGACTGATTTGGTCATTATTTCAGAAATTTCTAAGCCAAATATGTGTAATTAATAAAGTTTTTATATTGAATGTTAATTGAACTTTGAAATAGGAAATCAATACCACTCCGCCATATGATCTGATGTGACGCATTACCTGCCAACATGAATTAGGGGGCCACGCTTCACAGGTCCAGGGTCAAACATACATTTTAGGCTACACACCTCCTTAATGTCTCCTTATTTTTACTTTTAGCATTCAAATGTAACTTCCAATTTTAGTAAAAAAATAAAATAAAAAATTATTTTTTATTATGAATAAATAAAATTATAATTAATTATTTATAATAATAATTATATATAAAAAATTAATATTTGATAAATTGATAATGTATAAATATTATACATTATATAAATATTATAAATTACCAATCAATCAAACGATAATCTTTCATTAATGAATAAAATAAAAAATAATTATATTCTTAAAAATAAATATAAATGAAATTATAATGTAATTTATTAATATTTATTTTAAAGAATTAACTATTTTTTATTTTATTCATTAACAAAGTACAATCATATAATTATTTGATAGTATATAATACTTATAAAATGTCAATACATTAAATATTAAACCACTTTTAAACTTAATAAAAAATTTAATTAAAATAAATAATATTAACATTTAATATTTAATAAATCCAGATTTTAACTTAATTTGTTCTTCCAATTATTTTAACAAATCTAAAAATCAAATATCAAGATTTATAATCTTATAATCTTTTTTCCTATTCACAAACTACCATCTTCTTTATTTAAAAAAAATTATTTAATAGTAAAAGTAAATATATAACAAATAATAACTAATATTTTGTTATTTTAGTTAGATTTTTATAAGATAATTTAAATTATAAAACAATTAAAATCTTTAATTAATTTTGAGAATTAAAAAAATGTAATAAAAAATTATACTTAATTCTATTTTTCACTAAAATTTTTAAGAAATCTTTGGTATTTAACCTTCATTTTTCTTTTATTATCTTTAGAGCCTAAAAACACTTCGAAGTTCGAAGCTTGAAAACCACAAGAATAAAAACAAAAAATGGACGGCTTCGATCGGCTACCGGATTCTCTGATCCTCCTGATCTTCAGCTCAGTCTCCGACGTCAAAACCCTGATACGTTGCCTTCAATCTCCAAGCGATTCAACTCACTCGTTCAGCAAACCGAGTCGCTCCTCTTAAAGATAGACCGCGTCATCTCGTCCGAATCATACTCCGACTCGCTGTTCCTCACCAACCTCAAGTCCTTCCTTTACCTCATCTTTCCCAATCCTACCCTGGCCCAACTCCCGAAGCGGACGCTCACTTACCCGGCCCAAATCCTCTCTCGGTTCCAACGAATCAGGAAACTCCACGTGGAACTACCCGCCGTTGATCTTCACTTAGAGAAAGGCATGGTCGTTAAGTGGAGGGCTGAGTTTGGCGAAACGTTGACAACCTGCGTGATTTTCGCGTTTGGTGTGGGAAATAGTAATAATGGAAAGTACGAAGTAGAATTCACGGGTGGGTTGAAGACGCGCGTGATGTGGACGATAAGCGCGTTGATCTCGGCGTCCATTAGGCATTTCTTGTTACGAGAAGTCGTCAGAGATCATAACGGAATGGAAGAGCTGGTTTTAACGGACAGGGAAGGGGAAGGGGTGGTGGTGGTGGAGAAACAATGGTTGAAGGAGTGGAGAAAGGCGCGGCAGAGTGAGGTGATGGATGAGGTTGAGGAGGGGAGAGGGAGGACGGTGGTCCCCAGTGTGAGGATGAGGACGAGGCATGAGCCTAGGTTGGGTGCCACGTTGGTCGTGGTGAGGGCTGTGAAAGATGGAGCCCACACTGGCAAGGAAGCTGACGTCGAGGATGCTGGTTTGGCTTTGGAGGCTTACGGGAGTGGAGTATACGGGGACGCTGTCAGGGAATTGCTCAAGGTTAGGAGTTATATTCTTGAAAAGAACTCCTTTTGATCTATAATAATTACATTTGGATGTGTTTTCTTGCTCTCTTGTTTTAATATTTTTGTATATAATTGTGTAAATTTGAAGGTTAGAGTAAGATAAATTTATTTACATCAAATTCAATAATCTTTGTTTACATTATTTACCTGTACATCAACATCCAAATGCATATTTCTTTGTCCACTATGACCCGTGATTAAATCACATTGCATCGAATGTTATGGTGGGCTTGTTTTGTACATAGATAGATTGTGATGTAACTGGTCTGAAATTCCAGGATCATAAATCAAAACAATAACAACGTGTGTAAGTTACATGAACTTTCATGCTATGTTTGGGAAGAATAGAGGATGGATGAAGCAGCCTCCTACGCCTAATTCAGTTTACTTATGCTGTTTTATATACAAATGCCGTGGGCAATTTGCCACTCCTATGTGATGCTATAACTATTGTTGCCATCCTTGTTCCAACCGTAAGCCTAGCATGTTAGTTATCACATTTCAAAAACAGTTCATTCATGGTTAGAAGAGAATGAAATACAACTTGCTGTTCAAGATACACTTTGAGCAAGGACATGGACAGCAAGCTAAACTAGGAATGCATGAGGAAATATAGTCCTCTGTTAAGCGTTAACCAAAACAACATCAATTATGCAGAGGTTACAATCATATAATAACATCTGATACATGTTAAACTCGGTACAGTCTTTGATGCTTTTCTATTGAAAACAAATCTGAAATATATTTATGCTGCTATCCTATTTGTTTAACAGATAGATTCCTGCAATTTCCTTGTTAAGAATATTTCAGCATCAGCAAATAAGGGTTCTGCCTATGAATTCATTTGAATATGTAATATTGATCAAATCCTGATTGACTGTGGCTCAAAATAGGTAAATCCAAATGACATTCAGATAAGCAGTCCACCTCTGCCAACAGAACAACAATTTACAAACAAAACTATGGCATACCAGGATAGAAATTCAATAGCAAAAATAAAAATTTATAATAATTACTGGTATTACCACCCATAGTGTAAAACCATATCATGTTTGTATACAAATACTATTAGAAAGTTAAACAAATATAAGGACCGTCACAGTTGCATGCACAGAGACTGGATGCAAGGACAAAAAACAATAAAAAATTACAATGATTGAGCATTGTTACTGAGACAGTATTGGAGTAATTCAAACATAAGAGTTAACTATACAAGCAATCTTTTCAAGCGTAGAGGAGTCCAGAAAAAGAAATATCTACGTTCTTTCAAGAGATATAAGTATATAATAGAGTCTGAAAAATGAAAGTAGGATTAATAATCTACTGCAAAGAAACATATCTTAGAAACTACCTAAACACAGTCAAAATAGCAAATAGTCTTTGCCGCTTTACCCAAAAATGAAGTTATACAATCAGTTTCACACAAAAATAGGGGTCTATGAATCTCAAATAACATCATAGACTTGATATGCGTCCAAGCCTCAATCAATGAAATGAAAACCAACAATTATATGCCCGCTATAGCCATGGCTACTTTCTCGAGCTCTCTTAAATAAGGACGAACATATTTCTCTCTGAACCGCTTTTCAGACATCATAAAAAGTGTGTTCAAACGAACTTTCCGGCTTAGCAAATTCTTTCTTTCTAGAATCTCAAAGACCGGTAGCCGAGGCTTCAACCTATGCTCAATGCTAAAAAAAAGCACCGTCGGGTGGTTTATTATAAAAGAAATATCTATATTCTTTCTGCTAAGCAAAAACTCTGTGACCTCCTTAATCTTCCTTTCTGATACAGCGAACACCTGAGGTGTCCTCCTAAAAGTGGACATGATATCCTCTTCAGAAAACCCCAAACTCCTAAAAAGCTTCAGCTTGAGTTCCCAATTCTCTTCACTCATTGAACTCAACATCCTAATAGCAGCAAGAAACATAGTTGAGTTTCTATTAAATCCCATGTCGTCAGCCCTTTGAACAAACTGCTCAATGCTCTCGGGTTTATGCAAGAAAAATCTAGGAAAGCTAAACACATATCTAACAATTTGCGATGAACTAATCCCGCAACTTCTCATGAACTCTATATTAGGCATCATAGTCTTTTGCAGATCAGATTTCAAAAACCAAGCTGAAGTTTTTAGTAACTTAACAACACTGGCATTCGATCCTACAACACTCTTTAAAACTGAAATTGAAGGTGCAATTCCATCATCTACGCTTCTAGACAAAACCCATGGATCACCAGATACAATATCAGCAACATCATTGCTCGAAAATCCTATGTCCCGGAATATCTTGAATTTGGGTTTAATGGATTTCTCAAGACTAGAAGATAGAAGGCTAGGCCTTCTTTTGACCGCTTCTTCAATATGGGATTTTGAGAAACCGCTTTCTTTAAGAAATGAAATTATACTATCACACTTACCAGGATCCCTCAGATAGATTAAGGAAGATGCAACTTTCAAGGCAAGTTCAGGGGAAAAGTTGTGTTTTTTAATAAAATGATCAGCTACATAAAGGGAGGGTTTCGGTGCCTGGGTGGTTGTAGAAGATGAAAAGAAAAGAACAGAGATGGAGTAACAGGAAAAGGACTTTTGGAAATGGGAAGATTTCTTGAGGGAGAGTGAGAATAGAGCTCTGATTATAGGGGGTGTCATTGTTTCTACTGGGGTTTTGTTGAGGTTTTACTGTTAGCTGATTTTCTTTCAGCATAACAAAGAGAGTTTACAAGATTCAAACCTGTTACAGATTGAGGATCTCGCCCGTAACATCGGCTTTTGCCTTGTAACTGTATCTGTCCTCTGATTTCTTGACGATATATCTGGGTTTTCGATTTCAACACGTACAAAATGCTGGAGTCTAAACGCTGGTTCTTAGGGTTTTCGGCACAAATTCAGATTCGGATGTTCGATTTGATTTATGCCCTCGTCCAGCCCAACGATAGGACCGCGCCAGGTTTGCTTAGTATGCCCAATAGCCCAACCCATTAGTCTTTTGTCACAATAAGGATTGGGATTTTGTCTTTGCCTAAAAAATGCCATTAACAACCTTTTTCCAAGTTCTTTGTTCTATAAGATTTTTTTTTTTTTTACAAAAAGGTCGATAAAGTTTTTAATTAAAATTTAATAATTATTTAAATTCTTATTTTTAATAAATTAAATCCATAAATATCAACTTTTACTAATTGAACTCTTGTTGGAGAAAAAATGATTAACTATTTTTATCAAATTTGTGTATTAATTAAAAAATAGATACTTAAAAATTTAATTAGATGAAAATAAATGTTTATGAGTTCAACTGATTCAAAATAAAATCTTAAAAATTTAATTTATAAAAATAAAATATATAAGATTTAAATGATTATTAAATTTTTCTTTAAAATTTTTTTGATCCTTTTTATAATTTTACTTTTTTTACCTATGTGGTCCTTTCTTTAATAGAAATTACATATAGAAAATGTTATACATATATATATATATATATATATTGGATTCCCTTATTAGAGTAATAGTATTAAGAATTTAAAATAATATTAAAGTTTTATATTATATATATATATATATATATATGCACACACACACACACCACCATTAGAGTGAGAGAGGGCCTTGGCCCCCAAAAATTTCAAAATCCTTTAGCATATACTATATATATTATATTATATTATATTATATTATCTATTATAATTGTTTTATATATTTTTATTAAATTAAATTGGTTCTTATATTAAAATTTGGTATTTGTTAATTTAATTTTATCTTTAATATAACTTTATGCATTGCAATTTTAAAAAAATTAATTATATTATTATTTATCATTTATCGTATCTATAATCATTATCATACATCTTTAAAAAATAATAAAATTTTCATAAATATAAAATCACACTTACATATCACACTTATGTATACTTAAAAAAATAAATTTTCTTCTTTTTTCAACAAGATTCTAATATTCAATCAAATGTTAAAAGTGTATTTTTTCAATCTATTGTAATTGTTTTTTTAAATATTTTTATGACCATTTTCAATTTTTTTGCTCAATAAAACTTTAAATGAATTATGTTAATTGTTTGAATTTTTTTAAAAAATTATATGATAAACATGGACATGGAAGTCAAAAAATTCAAATATATGAAAAAATTAAAAAAATACCCGTATTAAATACGTGCCCGTATTTGATACTCATTCCATATTTTAAATAGTATAGTAAATGAAAAGTATATTAAATTTTAATTGATTCCCTCAAAATTAAATATCAAGATTAGTCATATTATATATATATATATATATATAATTATACTTTAGCCGTATAAACAACGAACACCTTCAATTTGCTTATATCTTCTTAAAACGACAATTTTTCGGCTGATGGTATAGGGCAAATCTTAAAATTTAAAATCTAAATTTTTGAAGTTTTATGGTAAAAGTTTCTTTCTTTCTGTATGATATTAAATTGAATAATGTAAAAAACAAAGCGAAGGCATCATTATGCTCAAGTTTGAATATAGTGTATTTCCTGGAGTCCAACTCAACGTTTATATGAACAACAATAATATTAGACACATTAATTTTTTTTTAAATATAAACCAATCGTAGCCAATAATTTTTAAAAATTTGAAATTAATGGTACAAAACTAAGTAATCATGTGTGTATAACTTGAAAAATAGCATAGCATTTACTAATGAACTAACAAGTTGTCATGGAAACTTCAAGGTATTGTTCCTTTCTTTAAAAAAAAAAAATTTCAAGCTTTATCCAAAGTAAATAAAATTTAGTATTTATATTATTTTTAACTTTAAATATTTAAAAACTAAATAAAAAAGCCCCCAATTACAACATGGATACATAGTTTAAAATTTTCTTCAAAGACATACTTTGAGATATCGATTGTGAACTCATGATTATTATAGTGAAGCAGCTTTCTCTGAATCTAAAATGACCACTGTTTCACTGAATTACTTGAGTCTTGCCTCATACGATGATCTGTAAGAGTGAAACAATGGATTTTTTACTACCAACATTTTTTGCCCCAATGATTTTTCTAGCAGGCAATGATCATCGCTAGCAAATCAGTAAAAGAGGACTGTTCATCGTATTTGTTAGTATGACAAATGATGTGTGAATTCAACTGTTTCAAAAAGGAGAGGAAAAAAAAATCATTGATGAATTTAAAGACCCTCCAAAATGGATTAGAAATGTCTCTCTCTCTCTCTCTCTCTCTCTATCTTGTTTTTATTCCTTCTCAATCCATTTAACCTAATTGGGGGTCTTAACTAACATGATTGTTTTATTTAATTCCAACAAGCTGCCACTATTATAATTAGGGTCTTAATTAAACTGATTGTTTCAGGGGTAAAGTAGACTAAGCCAAGTGTCTTGTTGTTGAAGGAGTCTTATACATAGAAAAGAAGAATCACAATCATTTGTCCAAACTACTTGTTAATTGTTAATGCGAATTAAAACGATAAGAATCCATATTACAGAAAAAAAAAATAACGATAAAAATGAATGATCAGAGCCGTCTTCTCACCTTGGTAATCATGTCTTAACTATGGTTTGCATTATGAAATAGAGGGCCACGTAGTAGTTCTATATATATATATATATATATATATATAAAACCTACACCACTTTCTTTAAAGCACAATCGATTAGTTCAAAAGCATTAATGTATGGGAATAAAGATTTGTTCATCAAACAAAAATGCAGAACCTCCCAAAGGGTGGCTAATGGCCAATGAAAGAAAATTTTTCTGCTTAGAAGCTTCAATAATGTTTATTTTATGATGTAGAAGGAACCTCACAGTAGTACGTGTATTAGGAGAATTTTATACCAATCATCAAAGGATCTTAAACGAGTACCATTCCATGTTTACAAATTACAAAAAGCTAAATGCAACTTCTTTGCTTAATTAGATTTGATCATCAATCTATGAATATATCACTGATTTTATAAGATTTGATCATCAATCCATGACTCAAATGATTTCAACCAAATAGTGCCTTTCGGCTTCGGAAGTCTGAGTGCCATGGATTAATTGGATGGGATGGTCAATAAGAGCTGCTAATCATTTTTAAATAGTGCTGGTGATTGATGATCTTCTCTTTATAAGAATTTTTGAAATCTTGACTCTTTAAACATGAAGACTCTCAGATTCTTTATTTTTTTTCAATGCATTGAGTAGTTGAATAGAAAAAAGTTACCTCTTACAACTATATATATAACTTATAAGGCTACCAATTTCAAAAATAACATCTAGTTTGTGTAATTTGGAAATGTGTCTTATCTCAAATAATGTCATCAATTTCTTTGTAGCCTTTGCTATTACACCAAATCTCCAGCTTTTGGCTATAATCCACGGAGCTAATTATTAGGCTGAACCTAATTTCTCTCAAGTTTATGACAAAATGCCCTCGTTAGTTGGTACTGTAAAACCATAGAAAAGGAGAGGGCCGGCCATGGAAAACTAGGGGTGTTTGCTATGTTGATAGAAAGGAAGGAATCCTGGTGTTTGTTTTGACATCATCTAGTCACCTACACCTAGGTAGCTTCTTTTTGAAAACTCAACCCCTCCATTGCATTCTCTGCCATCCTCCAAACCCTACATGTCTCAACTCTCAATGATAAACATAGGAATAGGAGTACTAAATAATGTATTATAGAATCAAGAAGACAATTTTTTTAAGTTAGTGGTTTGAATTCATTGATTGTAGTTACCTAACTTTAGGCTTTGCTTGCTCGGCCCGCATGCTTTCTGAGCGTGTCCTTTAAGCTGCACGTATCAGAACAGAAAATAGAAAAATTGATCAGGCAACCGAACTTGGGAAGCTAGCTTGGGGTGGACAAATTGTAAAAATCTGTTTGAATCTGCATTCCCTTTCAGCATTTTGAAAGCATTACCAAGGGATTTTTTTATATTTACCTGAGTTGACAAAAGTTTGCACATAAATCATAGACTCAATAAAATTTTAACCTATTGAGCACATATACTCAATAAAAGTTTGCGTACTTGTATCTATATCTGATACTTTGCTATTTGTGACACGTCAAAATTTGATTGGAAATGATAAAAAAAAAAGGAAAAATAATTTTTGTGTAAATAATGATATTATATATTCTTTTATTGTTGTGTCTATTATTAGTTTTTTTTTGCACAAAAATAATTATTTTTTAAAAATCAACTGAATATTTATCATATATTTTTAATTAATAATTATAATATATAAAAAAAGTTTTATTGTCGTGTCTTGCTGAATACATGTTTTCATTTTTTAAAAATTATTATATCATTATGTTTATATTATATTATATTCATATTATATGTTCATATTTATACTGTATGTATTTTAATCATAAAGTAAAAAAATGTATCTTTGGGTGCACTTTCGATTATTTCATCACATTTGACAGGTTCAGGACAGCCAGCACAGGTCGACAACCTTAGATCCAGAGCTTGATCTCAAAGCCCAACATTTGGGGTTATTGAAACATTCTAGAATATTACTTGAGCCACGGTTTGCAAAGAACCAAAGTAATTAAACACTAATATCTCTCTCTCTCTCTCATGATGGTACTGATAACTATAAATCATAAAGAAGAAGAAGAATAGACTTCTATACTTCGTGGAAAGTTACAAAAAAGCAAAGAAAGTCTAATCCTAAAGCAAGTTGTTAGTGGATGGAGGAGGGCCATTCTTTCCCCCGTGCTCTCAAGTGCATTCCACCCTTCATTATAGCCTCCTAACCTTTTTTTTTTTTTAACCCCAGTTTTCCCTCAAAAAACTTTCGGTTACCCCTCCTAAAACAACAAGTTTAGTACATTTCTTGGCTCTAAAACAATGTCTTCCCCTTCTTTCTCCAACCATATAAAAGCCTTTTATTTCCCAATTGAAGAGTCTTAAAAGACTATGGAAATTAATTAGACCAGTATATTTTTGTTGGCGGAGGTTTCGTAGTTGTTGGAGACGCGTATTTCTGTGGGCAACAATGGCAAATAGGGCATGGACTAACTGGCATGGGCTCACAAGTTGAAGGTATGATTGGATCATGAAACAAAGCTCGTGGGCTTTAACTTTTTTCCATTTTGATTTTTTTAATGTGTTTAGGTGAAAAAAAAGTAAAGGCCAAGAATGAAGCTCATTTGTGAGCCGTGAACCCATGTTCAAGTGGAGCAAAAAGGAATAGCTGGAAAATTTAACGTAGAGGCAGTAAAGAGAGACACAAATAAAAAAAGGCAAAGAAAAGCAAAGAAAGCTGTCGGTCCTCTCCTTCCTTTTCTTTAAAAAACAACATCCGAAGCCCAAACACACCTCATAAACATTAAAAAAAAACCATGGACAAAGTTCTATAGTCCCCATTGCCCAATATCTAAAAAGAAACAACTGAACTGAACTAAGCAAAGAGAATAAGAGGGAAACAAAGAGAGACACAAAACAAAGCTGCCATGAAAGGAAGAGAAACCAAAGGAGCTCCTTCAGCAGATTTGCTAGTATGTTTCCCATCTCAAACCCGTCTAAGTCTAATGCCAAAGCCCATTTGTAGTCCAGCGAGGCTATCAGAACCCAACAAGCGCCACAATCATCACCATCACCACCACAAACGTCTCCTTAAAAAATCAAGCACAAGAAAGGGTGGTGGAGCTGGCGGCCAAGCTAGCCCTCTTCTATGGGCTAAAAACAAGCAAATGGGATCCGAGATCACGGAACCAACCTCCCCGAAAGTCACCTGTGCAGGCCAGATCAAAGTCAGGTCCAAAACAAGCTCATGCAAAAGCTGGCAATCAGTCATGGAAGAGATTGAAAGAATTCAAAACAACAGGCAACACAAAAAGAGGCCGAGTTGGGTGGAGTCACTTGGTTTTAAGAAAGAAGTCATGCAGTTCTTAACATGTTTGCGGAGCATTCATTTCGATTTTCGATGTTTCGGGTCTTTCCCTCGATCTGATATCACTACTGATGATGAAGATAAAGATGAAGAATACCAAGAAAACCACAGTCATATAGAAGGCAACGAGACATCAAGAACCATCTTTTCCAAATGGTTCATGGTGCTGCAAGAGAATCGAAACAACGGGTTTTGTAAAGAAGAAAAGAAAGAAAAAGAGAGGTCCCATGATGTTGATGATGATCAAGCTGCAATTCCACCTCCAAATGCTCTCTTGCTAATGCGTTGTAGGTCTGCTCCTGCTAAGAGCTGGTTGGAAGAGAACAGGGTAGAAGAGAACGAAGGGGATGAGGAAAACATAGAAAATGACGAAGAGGAAGAAGAATGTAAGAGGAAAGATGAGAAGAAAGCTAAGAATTTGAGGTCATTAATGGAAGAAGAAAACAGAAAGACGAAAGAGAGTTTGGTGGTGATGAGATACGACCCTGATTGCTACAAAATTTCATCTGATATAGCCAAAGAGAAATGGCTTGTTGGTGGAATGAAAGATCCATTATCCCGAAGTCGAAGTTGGAAGAGATGATTATCCTAGTGACCACTTTTTTATTTTTTTTGTTCACTTCATAAATATTTCTGTTTTTTATTTTGAACGTTTTTCCCTCCTTTTAATCTGAGCTCTTTTCTGAGAACTGGGAATTTCAAACCTAATCACCACCTATAGTTTACCTTTTGAATTTTGATATATGGTCATTGCTATGTATAATTTGAAAGTTGTATTTATGTTACATAATTGGTACAGCTTTCCTTTTCGTTCAATTGGAAAAGATTTTGCTGCCATGTACATTCCTGAGTTGTTCTTGCATCCCCTGTATTCAGAACCTTGTTTTAGTTCCTTTTGATTAGTGAATTGCTTGGCAGTTGTTTTCTCTCAACTTTCCTGAGATTCATAGAAGTTTATGCTATCCAATCTCAAAAAAAAAAAAAAAAAGGAAACCAAAGCAAAGTCAAAACTTGAGTTTGACGAAAATTCGAATGCCTAATGTGATTTTTTTATATAGGTATCAAATCATGACGTTTTCCTATTCACATGCATATTCACATCTTCTCTTTACCCCTTCCCTCTGATGTTGTCTAATCTATCTTCAACTGATGTACAATTTGACTGATCTTTCTAACAATTCAGGTTTATTTCCTGGAATTTCTTTGACCCTTGATCCTTTCTTGTATATTTTGAAGGCTGGAATGGGCTTACTGCCTCTGACTTAGATAAGTAAGGATTATCTTCTGCCTCCACCTGACAAAGTCAACCAGTAAATTCAAACTGGAGATATTTCAGTGTTCCATTATTTTTGTATCAATTACTATAAGGTAAGATTCTGGTGAAAAAAAACCTTCAGGAAGTTGACAGATGGGAATCTCTTGCACACTTGCTCCGTAAGCTGCAGAACTTGCTTGTGTTCTGCTTTGTCATAGAAAAGCACCAGCCATCCCTTTCAAAGAAAAAGAAGTGAAAGTTGCAACAAGGATTCCATTTAGTTTCTTATATTTTAGCCTGGGGATCCTATTAGTTGACTAACAAACACCTTATCCCAAAGGCAAGAATTGAACCAGTTCTTCCATCCATTGTATGGTCCGGCAGCTGCCATGTGAAGAATTCGAAACCTATGGCAGCACTTGATGATCGAAAATTAAGTTCCAAGCAAATACAAGCACGTCGAAATCTTCAAATCATGGCATAATAAGCCCGTGATTTTAGGTAGGCTCTGCCTCCCAAAACGTATTTCATAGCATATATACATAACCAATGAGGGTTAAAGATGCCAAGTCAATCGATTAGATGCCAATGGTTGCCTATATCAGGTAACTAAGAAGCGGAGTTGAAAAGCATGAAGGTAAAAACAAGTATAAACTCAACCTGTTAAGCCAGCACTTGATGGTTTTTAACACAAAGGATTTGGCCACTTTATGACCAGACATTCACATCAACATGATCTATAATTTTCTGATACATTGATGAAGAATACTAATTGAAAAAAGACATGTGATGAATTACTGATAAAAGAAACAGACAATGCAAAAAATAAAGCTACTGATTTGAAACACTTAAACAAAATTGATTTCACCAGCAAGGAGTCCACAGGGAACCAATAGAAATATTAATTTTTAGAAACTTTTATTACCTATAAATCACTAAAATGTACCACCTTCTCATAACTCATTTAAGCTCGTTTAACCGATCTCTTTCAACTCAATCAACACTAAGTTACTTCGTTTCAACTCCTAACTTTACATCAATCATAAACTCAGTACTCAAAAGGTCAAACCAACCTTGTGCCTTCATCCTTTGAGACTTCTTCAGCTACAGTTCAACACAAGATAGTGAATGAACAAAGCAGAAGAGTAAAATGGATATGGGATTAGTCAATTGTTAATTGTCATCCCTTCAGGAAAAAGAAAAAGATGTCATCTAAGCATCATTTTCAATAAAAAGACCATCAATTAATTCAAAACTGCTTCTAATTATGAATCATAATGATGAAAGGGAAAATGCCCTGTTACCACTAAACTTAACAGTAACTGCTACTTTTCTATTTATTAAAACATCTAATCACTGATATGACAGTAGGAACTTGCAATAATGATAGCAAAACTGGGTAAAACTTCAAAATTATGTTTAAAAAAACATAAGAATTTTCCCATTGTTGAAAGAACAACTTATTGCAGGAATGATAGGACAATAACCTGGTCATATAATGGATTCATATAACATGATATAGGACAATAAAATGAGCAAATAATGCTCGATCAAGTTTAATAACAAAGAAACAATAGCAATATCATTAATAATTATTAATCAATTTTTTACAATATTATTATATTATGATTTTTCTTAGGGGTTTCTAAAGTAATACTATGGGACTACGGGAAAATATAATACTACTTGTTTAAAGAAAAAGTTACTTGGATGCAACTGCAAATGACACGAAGGACATGGTTGCTCCCGCAACTAAAACTCACGGCGACAGTAAAAATTCAGAAAGATAACATGGCGGTTTAATATTCTACATTGGTAAACTGAAGAAAAGGATTCAAAGCAAGCAGAAAATATTGAGTTTGAAGATTTCTTCCCCTTCGGCCCAAAAAAAAGACTGGCTTCCCCATTTGTGGAAGTTTCTTGCCGGCACCCACGGCCCAAAAAAATGATTGACAAACTGACTTTATTTATTTTTTTATTTGGATATTTAAAATTTTCTTTTAAATGAATAAATTTTTGGTTTTTGTTTAATTTTTAATGGATGAATAATCAAAAGAATTCATGCTTTTTTTTTCTTTTGTGTGTGTAAATTTTATTAACGTTCAAAAGATAATACATGAAATTGTTCAAAAACGTCATAATCAAAATTCCAGAACATTTTACTCTTGTTTAAAAAGATCGGGCTTTGGTATATTTTTCTTTGGCGTACTACATTACTTATTTATCTCATAATTCCAAATTTAATTATATAATTTAATATGTTTTTTGTCTTTGGACATACTTAATCCATTGCTCCATAATTAATCAAAAACTACATGCTGTTAAATAAATCCAAATCATGTTATCTACATGATGGTGATTTGAGACCAACCTTAATTTCTAGGGCTGAGAGGCTAGTTCTATAGGCAAATAGGGAAATTATCCTCACCTTCACTAAAACTTGGTAAAAATGTCATACACTGGGGTGTTTGTACAGAATCTACAAGCTACATAATAAAAATAAACATAAAAAAATGTTAAGAAAATTACTCTTAATGATTCAATAATTGATTTATATATTTTTTTCATAAAAAGTAAGTTCGATCTTAACTCTCTTAAATTAATAATTAACAAAACAAAATAACTAATGGGAATTATTAAAAAGCATTTGGTTTAGAAAATTCACATATTTTTCTTTGAAATCTTATTGTTGAGTATTTGATTTTAATATTTGGTTTAAGGTAATCTAATTTAAAAAAAAATTGACAGATTTTCAACAATATCGAAAGTTTTTGAATAAAAAATTCATATCTTCCTTTGATATTATAGGATTTTGAAGGAAAAAGTAACATTTTTTAAAAATTTAATCTTACTAAAAAATTGTAAAATAGCCGTTACCATTTTAAAAATCATGTATGTAAACGAATGCAAGTCAATTGTAGATTTTTGCTGATAAAAAAATTGGTTCATATATGACATTTAACATGAAAAACACCTTCAATAATCTCTTAAAAAAATTGAATGGAGTTATTTAAAGTATTTTAAACCTTAAATAGTCCCAAAAAATTTTTATAAGGGGATTATTGAAGGTATTTTTTGACAGAAATGCTTCAAATAACTTTCATTATTCAAAGTATTTTTTATCAGAAATGCCTTGAATAATCTCTTACAAAAAATTTAATTAAGTTATTCGAAGCATTTTTGGCTAAAAACTCTTTTAATAATTCATTTCAATTTTTATGAGGTGATTATTCAAGGCATTTTTGACAAAAACGCCTTGAATAATCCCTTTTAATTTTTTTATTTAGGATTATTTAATGTATTTTACTTATAACATGCCTTAAATAATCTCTTGCAAAATAATTTAATAGGGTTATTGAAGGCGTTTCTGACTAAAAATGCATTTAATAATCCCTTTTAATTTTTATGAGGTGATTGTTCAAGGCATTTTTGACCAAAAATATCTTGGATAATTCTTAAACCCTAAATCCTAAACTTATAAAAATTTAAAAGGATTATTCAAGGTATTTTTTATTAGAAACGCCTTCAATAACCCTATTTAATTTTTTGTAAAAGATTATTCAAGAAGTTTTCTGGGCAAAAATGCATTGAATAATCTCTTTAAATTTTTATGAGCTTAAAGTTTAAGGTTTAGGATTTAAGAATTATTCAAGGTGTTTTTGTCAAAAATGCCTTCAATAACTCCATTAAATTTTTTGTAAAGGATTATTCAAGGTATTTTCAGGGCAAAAATGCCTTGAATAATCCCATTAAATTTTTATGAGTTTAGAGTTTAAGGTTTAGAAATTATTCAAGGTATTTTTGGCCACAAACGCCTTTAATAATCTATTCATAAAAATTGAAAAAGATTATTCAAAGCGTTTTTTTGCCACAAATGCCTTGAATAATCCCATTCAATTTTTTGTAAAGATTATTCAAGGCATTTTTTTGGCAAAAGATACCTTTAATAATCCCCTTTAATTAAAAATTAGATTATTTAAGTTATCATTGTATATGTAAAGGAGATTATAGTAATTATTTAAGATTTACTATATGTGTATTTCCTCCAACAAAACGAGTGAATCTAAACACAGGATGCCTTGAAAATAAAAGAAAATCTCGAGTATCACATTTTTTCGAGGATCACACTTTTCTCTGGAATCTATGATTCCGCTAACCAAACACTCCCTAAGAGATTAGTCAATATTATTGGGAGGTAGAATCATATTATAAATGTATTTTGCAATGAATTCTATGATCCTAAAACTTGTTCCTAATTGCATGAGCTATCTAGGCAACATCATAGCTGCGATGGAAGCATATTACTCTCTCTGTTTTCTTTTTATTTTTCATTTTTATTTTTTTAGATGTCTCAAAATTATATTTTTTTAATATTTAAAATTCTTTTGTTTAATATTTTAAAATTACTTTTTATCATTTTTTTTACTTTTTAACATTAAAAATCATAAAATTTTAATTTATAAAAAAATTTAATTTTAATATTAAATATATTAAAGTGAATTTTTTTCTTAAACTCCGTAAAAGTTAATACAATCCAAACATTTTGAGATAGAGAGAGTACTTACAATGATTGTACTATAACTAATTAATCATAGTTCATAATTGTGTAGGAATTATCAAAATTTTATATAAAATTTTATACTTATAAGTAATTAACCTTTACATAATTTTTTATTGTATTTGAATAATTATAGTAT